ACCGACTTTCTATAAAGATCGGCATAGATAGTTGATATATTTACTGATGTGATCTTATAAACTGATCTTCTTAAGCTGACGCGAGGTTGGTACAGATCTTCGTTGTCGTTGTTGTTTTTGATGTTGTTGGTCGATGGCTGACATTTCGGTGACTTCGCCATCCTTAGAGCCTGGACGTATTTAATATTAGAATGTTTTTATTATTCGGTGGAAAAGAAAGGTTAAAGTGTTAATGAAGATCAAACTTTCAAATAGACGCCATATTGAACAGAAAGGCCACTCACCGTGATGTTACGTGCGGGACTGGCCCACAAGTAGTTCACGTGGGGTCGCGAGCAAGACAAACCTAGGGGTTAAAATATCATATTGAAATAGGGCGCCAGGTCACGTGTGATAGTGAGGCATTCGTCTTTCTGGTTCATCTTCGGATTTTTGAAATTTATCCAAAACGCCTCAAGAGTTTTGCCGCTGTTCGTAAAATCGTCTTAATGCGACAAAAGACCCACTTTCTACGCCGCTGCTTAAAAAATCGACTTATTCCTAACTTTATAAAAGGTATGAAATTATACGAAGCATGCGGCTTACCAGAGAGCTCTCAACAAATGCTGAACACCGAAATAAAACTGCTACGCATTTCATTGCGGTGCACACGAAACGAAATGTTTTCACTATTAAACAAATGTGTGTACAAAGAAAACCATTGTGCTCAGCATTTGGAGAGAAATCTTTGGAAGAGAATAGTAACTGGGTATAAATCGGTATGCGAAAAGATTCGATGTGATATTGAGAAAAAGTTAAGGAAAAAGTCTGAAGATCTATCACGCCGCTCAAAAAGCCTAAGGAGGAAGTACCACCAAATCATAGGACCACCGCTGATCAAGTTGCAAGTAAAAATCCTGAAATAGACTGCGCACCAAGAACATCCAGAGTTATTATCCTAGAAGGTATAACGCTTCCGGAAAATGTGCGTTCCTTGTTAGAATTGGGTCCGAGTTTACACCTAGTCAACCCATTTTTGAACCAATCTTGCGCAGGATCACGTGTAGCCTGCATGAACTTCAAGATCAACTACGTTACGGGGTTAGGCTAGAAAGGCTAGGTAGAGTAGTATCAAGGAGGGAACTACCACCAAAACCCTTTGTCCGAACTTTCTTTAAACAAGAGCTACCAAATAGCGATAATGACCCTACATTTCGTTTATTTTCGGACGAAATTCTCCGCATGCTTAATCACTACCAAAAACGAAAAAGAAGTTCCAAACTCAAAAACCAACAAAAATATGGTATGCGCCAGATTAGAGAGCTTTTGAATTCAAAATCTATTAGACTTCCTATTAGTGATAAAGGCGGAGAATTTGTAGTTCTTCTTAGTCAGTTGGATATTAGGATAACAGTTGAGCACCTCAGTGATGTTTCTCTCTATCGAACATCCTCTGAAAAGGAATACAGAAATCAATACCGAAAATTGAATCAAGAATGGGTCAGCACGGCAAAGGCCACGGGTTTAGAGCCTTCAGTTACTTCTCGACTTAAGAACGAACACCCGATTTGTCCTGTCCTTTACTTGCTTATTAAAACACATAAGCTTACTTCAACTGATAATATCACGTCAACGAACCCATCATTATATAAAGTTAGACCTATCATCAGTTGTATAGGCGGGCCAACGGATAGAGTAACGTGGTTCCTAAACCTTATCCTAACCCAGCTGCTAAAATTCATTCCAATCCATCTACCTAACACCAAAATATTTCTGGATCATCTAAGGAGCGCGCAACCAAACAGCACGCATATAATGGAGTCATTCGAGGCTACTTCACTTTATATCAACGTGTCCAATGACTCCACAATGCAAGCCATTCTCGAGTTGCTCGTAGAGCATGAAAAGAAAGTAAAAATGCACGGTTTGTCGATTGCGCAACTAATGACTCTCTTAAAACAGTGTCTTAGTTGTTCAATCTTTAGGTGGTCTGGAAAATATTTTGCACAGATTAGAGGGTTGGCGATGGGGCAGCGTTTAGCACCAAGCCTTGCCATCGCTTTCATGTCTAAGGTGGAAGCTCCAGTTCTCGATCACCGACCCTTACTCTACTGTCGATACATAGACGACTGCTGCGTCGTCTGCTCCACACAAGAACAGATGGATGAGTGCCTTGATTTATTAAACCGACAGTCAGAGTATATAAAATTTACACGAGAAAAACCTACCCAGGAATGGCTTCCATTCTTAAACATCCAAAAAAGCTCTCAGTAAGTGGCTATGTAACAAAATGGTATCGCAAACCAAGTAAAAACATTCTAGTTCACTGCCTCTCCTCTCATCCTTCACACATGAAAAAAGCACTTATCAAAAACATGTACCGTACGGCTAAAAATGTGTGTACAGGAGAAGTGGAAAGGAAGGAATCGCAAAACCTGGCACGAAAAATTGCCATTTCCAATGGCTACGAAGTAGAAGCCACTCGGGTTAGAGGAAAACGTAGGGTAGTTTCCCAAAATAATGTGTCGGACGTAAGTAAAATCCCTTTTAAGCTACCCTTCATATCAAATGAAGTAAGTCACGCCTTTAAAAAGTGGTCTTGAAAATTATGTGGTTTATTATTGACCTCCTACCAATACTCTACGCCGCCAGTTAGTTCGAAACCGTCTCTATGATCGTTTGTGCAGCTCAGAAAACTGTATGATCTGTCCTAACGNGTGTGTACAGGAGAAGTGGAAAGGAAGGAATCGCAAAACCTGGCACGAAAAATTGCCATTTCCAATGGCTACGAAGTAGAAGCCACTCGGGTTAGAGGAAAACGTAGGGTAGTTTCCCAAAATAATGTGTCGGACGTAAGTAAGATCCCTTTTAAGCTACCCTTCATATCAAATGAAGTAAGTCACGCCTTTAAAAAGTGGTCTTGAAAATTATGTGGTTTATTATTGACCTCCTACCAATACTCTACGCCGCCAGTTAGTTCGAAACCGTCTCTATGATCGTTTGTGCAGCTCAGAAAACTGTATGATCTGTCCTAACGAGAGAGACGGGGATTGCATGAGTTTAGGTATAATATACTTAATCTCATGTAATGCATGCGGCCAGGAATATATCGGAAACGGGTAGACCACTTTGTGTCCGCATAGAAGAACATCTAGATGGGAAAGCTAAAATCCGTTTAAACACCCCTCTAGGTACGCATAGGGCACAAAAGCACAACGGCGATGATTTTGAAGTGAATGTGCGGATCCTAGCGCAGGAATCAAAAACATCAACGCGCAAAACTCTTGAGGCGTTTTGGATAAATTTCAAAAATCCAAAGATGAACCGGAAAGACGAATGCCTCACTATCACACATGACCTGGCGCCCTATTTCAAAATAATATTTTCACCCCGGGGGTGTCTTGCTCGCGACCCCACGTGAACCACGTGTGGCCCGCACGTAACATCACGGTGAATGGCCTTTCTGTTCAATATGGCGTCTATTTGAAAGCTTGATCTTCATTAACACTTTAACCTTTCTTTTCCACCGAATAATAAAAACATTCTAATATTAAATACGTCCAGACTCTGAGGAAGGCGAGGTTGCCGAAACGTCAGCCATCGATCAATAACATCAAAAACAACGACAACGACAACGGAGATCTGTACCAACCTCCCGTCAGCTTAAGAAGATCAGTTTATAGGATCACATAAATAAATGCATCACGATTATTCTATGATCTCCCTTTAGGCTTTAAAGGGATTTTCTTTATAGTGGTTATGCATTACCATAGTCGTAGTTAGACTTTCTCGTTAGTTTCGATTTCTCAGTGCTCAAGCATTGGAAAATTCACATTTCACTTCTACTACCTACTACGAAGGCTCATAATTCTAGATTACCTCAACGCTGTGCCATGGCCGTTCTCCTAGTGCTGACCGAGAGAACTTGTCCGGGCGTTTTGCGGCGGTAACCGTCGATTCGTTCGGTCTCTCACCACTAACTTTTTGGACGTTTTTCCGAGCTATTTCCTTGAAACAGTACAATACCAAAGTTGAATACCAATGAAATGCAAATTCTTCGTGAAAATTAAGCGATATCTAAAATAGTAAACTCACCTGACTTTGTTGCTGAATGAGTTTGCTGGTTTGCTTTTGAACGCTTTCTGGTTGGGCAGCTGAAAATAAAACAAAGACTTCAGAAGCATATTCTGTACTTCACATTTGTTTTTGAATAAATGTTTTTTAAACAATATTAGGTACAAGGAAACTACTAAACGTGTGCTGCGAAAGAATAAGTAGATCAGTAGTGTCAGGATTCGTCGCAATAAGTTCCGAATTCTTCGGAAGAGTATAGCAGAGGGTAGATGACAGTAATTGATGAATAGGTTACCAATAATGCTCTCCAGTAATTCTTTGACCATAGGTCTGACGTCGTACATAGGATGTGCTTTTATTCTGGCGACCAGATTTAGACTAACAGGACCCTTTTCCATTTGTTCTAAGACCTGAAAAAGATCTGTATGTACGTGTACTAGTAAGGAGATGATTTTAATGCGCTTTCTAGCTGAGAGAAACGCAAAGCAAAGGCTTCCGTGATGCAGTGTAATATGCAAGTGGAAAGGGTAATCGTAGTCCGATCTGGCCAGAGGTCCAAGTTTTGCGAGTATCTCAGCATCGTTGTGGTTTTAATGGATTTTATTTCACTTTACCTGATTCATCAGCATATTAAGGGAGTCAACCTCTATACGATAGGTCGCTGTGGACATTGGTGGCCGAAGGCCTGAATTCTGCCTGAAAGTATTGCCAAATATTAAAATGTCTCTTGTCAAAAGTTTTCAGATCAATGATAACATCTATTTTATTCCTTTGACAACGGCAATCTGCAAAAGATGGCATAGTTCTGCTAACAGAATTCAGGGCAGTTCTCAATTCAGACAAAAAGTCTGTATCTTATGTCTTCATGTCAATATCAAATGCCTTACAAAAGTGAAATTTGCAACCATGAATTCACGAAGAACTCCTGCTAATATTGTGCTTCCAAGGCAGTACAAAAAACACAAGTCACTCCTAGATTTTTGCCGGAAGTAATATTGTATTAGAAGGAAGAAATACTACGCTCACCTTGGTGTGACAGGTCGCGCCACTTCGCTCACTGGTACAAAAGTGGGAGCTCGTGATGAGTTTTCCACTCGAGAAGATGGCCTAGAATGGACATTAAAGATTTTAGAACACTTTTCCTATTATGCAAGTTCAAAAGTGCTATCTGTTAACATTAGTTTTACAATTAAAAAATCTTGTCTGTTACATGATTGTCTCAAGGAGCGAAATCGTTGCAAACCTGTATTCATAACGGCAGAATGTTTGAATGGATTAAATAGATAGAACTAGCTGAGAGACAGGCCAAACAAAGGACCCGCATGGTGTGGTGGTGAACGTGTTACTCCCCGGAAAGGATAATAGCGCGTTCGTTCCCCACCTCAGATCTTGCATAGTTTCGACATTCTTGTTCAGAATGTTAACTTTTTATTTACTGCCTACTACAATTTTCTACGGCAGGGTATGTGAAATACAATCGATATGTGCTCCCCAGACCAATCCTGTTAACGGGTTATTGCTGATGGCACCGGTAGATAGAAAACTAGCTGACAGAAAAGCGAAACGAAAAACCCGTATGGTGTGGTGGTAAACTCGTTACGACCTGCGAAGGGTAGCAGCGTGCTCGAACCGCAGGCACCTGTGGTCCGGAGTTTTGCAGAACTTTTGCTCAGAATTAGGCTTTGTCTACTACTTTAGGAATAAAAACTAACTCATATCGAGCTGGTCTCGGATCTTCCGGCTGTTCAGGAGAGCTTTGACGCTTTGGTTCTGCCTGAACATTGGCGGTGACTATTGATTTAACACCAACATCCTGCGTTGATTGTTTCGACGGTTCCGGAACCTCTTCGTGAGAAGTCTGGAATTTGAAAACGAACTACGGTGAGTTGTTCTAACAGATATCATATATTAACTAAGATTTCACTTCTGAACTCGTTTCACTATTCAAAAACAGTTAATAAAAAACAGCTTTGTCATAACACCTTGTTACGTTTAAGGTCGAAGAAACACATCACTAGGTTGATGCAATGATGCAAAACGGTGGCTAACCTTGCCATAATGAAATTCTTTGTAGGAAGTACTTCTTGCTCACATTGTTGTCATACAAAATTTTCAACCTAAGTTATTGCTATCAAATTGCTAACTATTTCAGTAATCATGAATGCTCTTCTCTATTGCTTTTCTGGACGTTGGAACTGTTCCGTCTAGACGTCGGAGTGCAATCATCTTGGTTTTGTAACTTGCGAAGCTTGGGCTTTGCGAATGCTTCTCCCAGCCTCTGCACCTTCGGCCATTACTGCTGCTCTTCCCTCTTTAAGATCTTCTTTTACCGCCTGTCTGCTTCGTTTTGCAAGTTCGGACGTTAGTTAGCGGTTGCCTGCAGCTCGTGGGATTCCATGTTGGTGTATCAGCTCGAGTGTTTCTGAAGAAAGACGTCTCTTGGTGACTTTCGAACTCTCAGCTTTCACAGCGCTAACGTGAAGATGTTGAAAGAGCCTGTTGGTGTTAGAGAGAACGGCATCTTCCCTATATCAGTCAGGTTAATTAACCCAATAAATTCCATTTTATGATGGTGAAGTTCATTTTTTGAATTTAAAGACTTTTTCTTTTTTCCACGAGAAATGAAATCCTGCAAGAAGTAGATGGTCTGACCCGTGAAGAATTTTAAGTAAATAACGACATCGGCTAGGTAAACTTCGATTTGCTATGATGTGGTCTATTTTGCTAAGGTACTCTTCGTTGGGAAAATGCCACTTCTAGCGTTGAGAGGGGGGCTACTGGAATTATGATTTACCACGCGTGTTCTTGTTCATTATTATAAAGTTGGATAATCGCTCTAGCATACTGTTCCGCTTTAATCCATGGGTCTCAATGTGACCTTGTTCAGAAGTTCTTCTGGGTGCAATATTAGCCCTAAAATCTCCAATAATGATTTTAAAGAATGCATAGTTTTCTCACTAGAATTTCAGCAAGCCCATATAGAAGACTTTCTTCGTCATAGCTTCATGTTGGTGCGCAGACGACGAAGACTGTCATAAATGGATGTCAGATGAAGATAAATGACATGATTCGTCCAAATCTCTTTAATCGTTAATGTCCGATTCGGGTTTTAGTTGCTCGAATGAATCGAGCTTCATGGCGAAACTCATGTTGGGAAGAACGCCGACCCGTTGACTCCTCTGTTGTCGCGTGTGTTCTCTGATGTTATGGATGGTTTTGAATAAATGGCGTCTTCTCTTCTCAGCCAATCCGATAACGTCATATTTTATCCTCCTTGCCTGCATAATAAAGTCCTCTATCGGAAGCACGAGTGCAAGTGTGCGCGCATTGTAGTTACAAATCGTGACCTTAGTCCTTTGCGATTTAAAGAATAGAATGGCCCTGCGATTTTAGCAGCCTCTCCTTACTCGTCCTATCCAACGCTGTCGAATCGGAGGCTTTTTTGGACTCAGGGAAATGAGGTCCACTTATTTGAATGTATTTAGTGTTTGATACCAGTTTATTGCTTGAACTTGTGGGCTGGGCATACTATATCATATAGCCTGCCGTTCTTTCCAAAAGTAGACGAGGAGCTTATTTGTTGAAAGTAACTCCCAGCCGCCTCCCATATACTTCCCAGTCACTTTATTGCACGCGCGTGCCGAATCGACTCTTAGAATACAATTCGCATAAAAACGAAAACACGCCAATACGCATGCAGGAATATGTTTTTGTAAACACAGAAGGTACGCGTCAAATCCGGGCAGCAAAAACAAGAAGTCCGTCTCCTAGATCCATCTGCGTCCCAGGAAAGCACAAGGTCGCTTTTGGTGTGCCATTAACCACCCTATCCACCAACTAAAGACGCTCTACTATGTTTCGTGACTATTCGGCAAGAGAAACCTCTTTGTGAGAGTTATTAGCGGTTTAACAATTATCTCGTCAGATATTGCGCCGTAAATTCTAAAATGACGATAGCCCAGAAGAAGTCGACTCGGTACAACAGTGAAAGGACGGCTCGGCTCACTCAGGTGCAGCCAGAAATACCGTTCAAGCCAAAATGGAGAGCTAAGATAAACATGTGAATGTGCGACCGTGGCAAGGTGTGGTAACAGAATTAAATACAAAGCAATCGAATTTTATGCGCTTATTCAGAAAGCTGCGATGCAAAGTTCCACAGTTGTTTCTTGTTTCCTCAGAACGTTGCAATCTTTGGAGGTGGAGCTTTATATGACATGCACGTTTCAATCACCCAGTTTTTGATTCCTATGATGTTTGTCGTTTTTATCAGCACGTCTCCTTTCTTTTATGAAAAGTTATTTGAACTCCATTTGAAACTTAAAAACCTTTCGCACTGTTTGTTGAGCATTGTTCAGTGAATTTTTCCTTCTCTGCAGACCAAGTCGGTTTTCAATCTGTCGCAATCGTTCCAATGGATCATCCGTCTCTTTTTCCTCCTAAGAAATAACCAGTTAAGACTTAGTTTGCCGATGCCTCAGTAGATTGATAACATAATACCTCTGTATACCGGACAAATTATGAACTGTTAGTTCAATTTGTGAAGACAACAAGAATGAGATAAAGAATTTCCCAAACCTTAGGATGCTCCTGCACTCCGCGAAGACTCTTCTCCTCACTCTTCATCTCGACGGCAGGTTCTCCGTCCTTACGAGCAGCCTATAAACAATGCAGTATTCCTTTTTGGAACATAAGGTTGATAAAAAGAACCAGTTGTAGTTGGATAAACTGTGAAAGAAATGACAAAGAAATACGACTAACATTAGAGTGAGGAACGAATAAGATATATTACGAGACACTTCTTAACAAAAGGATCATTGATTCGTAAGAAAGTTTCTCAGCACAAACACATAGAGAGGATTGCATAAACTAGAAATCCTTACTACCTTAGGTGGTTTAACTGGTGAGTTCTCATTGAACTCTTCAGCTTGTTTTCTTCGTCGACGGAATTCTTCAATCTTCTTTCGTGTTTCACTGCTGAGATGACTGAACTCCATGAACACGTCTGTTTCATCCGCCAAATCCTTAACAAAATCATGTGTGGAAGCGGAAACTACTTTTTGTAGACAATGCAATTCTGGAAATGAGAATATAGCAAAATTTTTGAGTATCTATATATCTATATCTATGTTCTCACGAACTGCCCTTAGCTCTTGTGGTACCCTGGAGTCCCGAGATAAGCCATGCTAAAGTCAGCCCCAGGTCGTCATCACCACGGGCAGTCGCAGTCCTTGTGGATCAGAGGGAGATTTGCCACTATGCGACTACTTTGATGCCACGACGGTAACGGATCCTGGTACAGGTTTACTCTTAGCTAGGCTTCCTGATGGAAACGCCGGACTCCCTCTCAGCTTGGGAGACCCTGCCAGGGAATGAATACTCCGTTATGCATCGCAGTCTGACACCCAAGAGCACCTTCCAGCCACGACGAGGCGGTAAACCGTTGTGGGGTCAGAAAATGTAACCCAAAAAAACGTGATTCTGTGGAAATATCGCCCGACTCTTTCCTAACCATGTTGTGTCCATACCTCAGAGGTATGTAAACGGGTATACTTGTTCCGTACCCTAACCTTTCTTGACTAACATCATGGCGAACTAGAGAGTGTCTAACAAAGTGATAGTGCCATACTAAATAAGAACTCCAACCATGTGCGATTGAGACTACATGGCGACAATACACCACCTTGATATAACTCTATCTCGGCGGGGTTGTTCGCTTTGACACTGTTTCGACTAACGAAGCTACAGAATTGAGTGCAAATTGCAGGAACACTAATGAAAACAACTGTCAAACTCTCTTTTTAAGATAACGTCACCATGTTTTTTGATAAGTGTTAGTAAAGCAAAGACGACGCTTGAAGAGTTCAACATAGATAGCTTTGCGAACAATACCCAGAGGAACACCCAGTTCATAGAAAAGCTAGCATAAAGTGATTGACGAGTCGAGTGCTACGCAGACAAATGCTGAGCCAAATCAAGATGTTTAAAAAGCGGCGTGAAAAATAGTCGTACAAGAGAAGTAGGAAACATTGATAGCAGCGAATTTGTTGAGGCTTACAACGATGTCGTCGATCAAATAACGTATCCAGCTCTTCGTTTTCGTATGCTGAACTCAGTATACAACCAACGTAAACAATATCATTGAGAAATAAGCATCTAAAGCAAAACCAAGATGAACCGCCTATATGAAGGGAACGGACGATAGACGAACGAGGAGAACTGGTCTCCAAGTGAAAATAAATATTAACAGGGAAGGCCCCTTAATGGGTGGCAAATATTTCTGTAGATTATGCACACCAGCTGTATTCACAGTTGCTATAAGTCTTTTCATAAGCATTGTTATGCGAAAAGCAGGCACTTTTCATGAATGGCGACGGAGGAAGAGCGAAATTAATTGAGAACGTGATGTAGTAGCATGACCTGTAAACAGGACCATTCAAGTGTATAAATAAATAATGAGCTGTTACACACCTGTACAACCATCGTTTCCGCTCTCTCAGTGAGTGGCGTATGGTCAGTGATCTGAATCATGTTTGGTCACACGAGCACTTATTCACCTGTTTGTCCTTCAATAATTCTCTAACATCGGGGGAAACGAGTTTCGTGGAATCGCTTGATAAAAAAATCTCTCAGAAAAGAAAGCCAACTGACCTGATTCTCCGGCAATTCCTGGATAACGGGCATATTTTCTTCGAGATTTAGCCACCAGTGACTGGCAATTTCGAAAATATCAGCACGACGTTCTGGGTTCACACGCAACATGTTCCGAATCAGCATCGAAGCCGCTGAAACGAACAGTTTTGCCACCTAGAATAGGCGTACCAGTTTGTGGTAATTCGCTTCTAATTTAAAAGTGTTCCACTCCTAGAATAAGTGACTTCTTCAGTAATCTTCAGTAACTTTTCCACTTCAGTATTTGTCACGTTTTCTCTCAAATTCTTCGAATTTCCGAAACCTTTTTTTCTGGAACTGAGATAAAGATCGAAGCGCTTGCTTCTTCCTAGGCTTTGTAAGATTTCTGTCCACGTCTAGTTGAGTACAAAACGTCTAACACGCTAAAAATTTTCGTTAGTGAATATACCTTGATTGCGATTACTATGAGATCTCCATTGCCTTTACAGCATTTCCACATGGTTTCAGAGAAAACTGCTTAATTGCTTTTATTCATTGCCCAGTAGTCTTTTTCTACGGCAAGGCATGATGCGAAGTACAACGACCAAGAATGCTGAGATAAGAGCGAAACGTGAATTTTGGTCGGGCTTCGAACCCATGATTACCCTTACCGAGGGCTTACGTGCAATCCACCATACCAACCGAGGCCCTTGTTTTGCGTTTCTCTAAACCAGCCTTTTAGTCTATCGGTGCCATCAGCATTCACCTGTCAACTGGAATGATCTAAGAAGCATAAATCGGCAACAACTCCAGTTAAGCTGAAGCTGCAGTCAAAATTAAATATTTGATTCTCTAGAAGTAGGAAATGAGTGTGACAGATTATCACGGCTCCCAGGACATAATTCGGTTTCTACTTCAATTATATTTTAAAAATATCTGTAGTTTAACTACTTCTCTTTTTCTCTCTAGGATAAAACAAAGAACAAAAACCGTTCGACTCACTGGATGGTGTGTCCGGTTCGTAGTATGCACCGCGTTTGATTTGTCGAACCATTCGATTGAAGTCTCGTCCGTCGAACGGCATCGAACCGTAAACTAGCGTGTACAAGAGAATTCCCAGTGACCAACAGTCCACCTCAAATGTAAGAATTCTTTTCACGTTCTGATGCCTTATTGACGCTCAAATAGACCGCCACAAAAAAGGCGAAATCGCAAGTGAAACTTTCTCAATCATTAAGATTAGCGAATATAGGACACCATCCAGCTGATTAATGATCTTCCCGCTGGTGCTGACTACGTACAAAGTAGAGAACTACTGTGATATGAAGCGATACAGTTGAATACCAAACAAAAAAAGCAGGACATTCAGGTGGTTCAGATGAGGCAATCATTCAAGGACCGTAAATGGACGCCTAGTTAGCAGCCGCTATAGTGACATCTCATAGTTCTCCGCCATAGTTAAATATTGTTGTTTGAATGCAATTGATAGCTCTGCGTCGTGATACGTATATATATATATATATATATATATATATATATATATTTTGCTCTGAAAAAATCTCAATAAATGTGCCATTGTTTTCGCCACTTCGAAACTCAGCCTAATGCCGAAATTCCTCTCATACACCTCGCAGACACGCAGTTCATGATCAGGTTCTCTTTTCACCCAAAATGTTAGGCAGATGAACTGTACTACACTGAAGTACCAGTGGATATCACCTGTTTTCCTAACTGATAAAACTAATAAATAGAAGATATTTTGCAATTAGCAGATTAAAGATTGCTCTTCTACGGATTTTATGTTTGCGAGAGGAAACTGAATTTTAAATGTTCAGAAAGGAACACTCACCTCAGGACCCTTATACGGAGTGCCGTTAATGATTTCCGGAGACGCATAGAGTGGGCTACCGCAAAAAGTGGTGAGCAGTGACTGGAAACACTTCTGTTAGTAATATGGATGCATGGATTCGACGGAGATGTACACACACCATATTTACAAAGACACAAAAAGGAGCTCAGCGAACTTTCTGAAGACCATTTGCCATTTTCAACCTTCAGTGTTATTTTTAAAGCTTATATGTGCACTGTCGTATAAATAATGTTCATCTGACAACTTGACCAGTCTCAAAACAACCTTGAGATTAAAAAATACTTGAGGAATACGCTACAAAATAAGCCGTAGAAAAAGAAATCATTTAAATTTAAAATGGTCATTTACAAAAGAAAGATTGGAAAAAGAACCTTCGTTCCAAAGTAGTTCGAGAGTCCAAAGTCGGCGATTTTCGCGTTGTTATCCTGATCGAGCAGGATATTCTCCAACTTGAGATCACGATGAGCTACTTGGTGCTAAACAATACTTTTCACATCACATCAAAAAGTATCACAGAATCTAAATCATCTCTATTGCTGAGAGTACAGGATGAACAATTACAGCCAAAATACTTTAATATCCAAAAATAAGTTTAAAGACACAACTTTAAAAAGGAGCCAACATGTTTGTTTATTTTTAGCCACGACAAAAGTAGTATGAAAATATTTATAGAGACTGTTCTGTTTTTTATACAAAGAGCGGCTTGGAGTTTTCTCTTCTTTGAACTGGTTGCATATTGTTTTCCATCTCCATTGTAAATATTTATCACGATGGCCCATAATACACCATATGCTGCTGTGCTTTCTCACCACTATTACGAAAGCCGGTAGTTCCTCAGAGGACAGAAGCAGGACAGATGTACGGTTTCAGGCATAACATAAATCCACGCCGTGATCACTTGAAGGGCAATTGTAGTATGAACGTAATGGTCCGTCTATGCCAAACATTAGATACAGAACGTTAGGTTTCCATCGAAATTCTGTACTTTTCTCTCCTTCTCGCTGCTTCATCTCCACACAGCTATTCCCACCATCCATCACCACCAGGGTAATCCTCATTTTTCAACAATGTTCCACTCTCATTAAATTTCCTGCAATTCTCAGTCGCAAATTGTTGGCGTTTTACCTATTTAAAAATTTAAATCCTCAACGAACTATGATGTAAACAGGCTTTCAGCAATCTCTTCAGCTACTGTTCGTTCATTTTTCTCACGAAAATCAACTGGGATAATCCACTGTGAGTTTTGCCAATTAGCTGATGTCGCGATTATTTTGTATGGAGAAAAATATTTGCTATGAAGCGCTGCGGCGCGAACTTTGTCGTTTACCCTCCCACTAACCGTTTTCGCAATGAATACCAGATCCTTTCACTTAGCTTTGTCATTCTTTGTCTCCAACTTACACGTGAAAATAAGATCTCTGTCATCGACTGTCACTATAGTTTTTCTAGAAACCGCTTGGGGGAGTTTTCGGCGATGGGTTAGGCAGGAGTGGTGAAGGTGAATATAAAATCATTAAAAAAGTGGTAAGTGCTTGATGCCTCCATAGCGTCATCGCTCTATCTGATTCTCTAACTGACGAACCTCACGCATGCCTATCTCTTCCTTCAAAAAGTGCTCGCAAGTAATTACTAGATTAGTTGTTAAATGGCTTTAGAAGTTTTTCACGAATACCACACCATCGAGCAAAAGTTTGCATGGCTAAGCGCCATATCGGCAGAGATTTAGATGGCTGGTATCGAAACCTTAGATTAGATAACTCGAAAGACCGACTTTCTATGAACCACGGCATAGATAGTTGATATATTTATTTATGTGATCTTACAAACTGATCTTCTTAAGCTGACGCGAGGTTGGTACAGATCTTCGTTGTCGTTGTCGTTGTTGTTGGTGTTGTTGGTCGATGGCTGACGTTTCGGCGACTTCGCCTTCCTCAGAGCCTGGACGTACTTTATGTTAGAATACTTTTTATTATTCGGTGGAAAGGAAGGTTAAAGTATTAATGAAGATCAAACTTTCAAATAGACACCATATTGAACAGAAACGTCACTCACCGTGATGTTACGTGCGGGACTGGTCCACACGTGGTTCACGTGGGGTCGCGAGCAAGACACCCCCGGGGTGAAAATATTATTTTGAAATAGGGCGCCAAGTCACGCGCGATAGTGAGGCATTCGTCTTTCCGGTTCATCTTTGGATTTTTGAAATTCATCCAAAACGCCTCAAGAGTTTTGCGCGTTGATGTTTTTGATTCCTGCGCTAGGATCCGCACGTTCACTTCAAAATCATCGCCGTTGTGCTTTTGTGCCCTATGCGTACCTAGAGGGGTGTTTAAACGGATTTTAGCTTTCCCATCTAGATGTTCTTCTATGCGGACACAAAGTGGTCTACCCGTTTCCGATATATTCCTGGCCGCATGCATTACATGAGATTAAGTATATTATACCTAAACTCATGCAATCCCCGTCTCTCCCGTTAGGACAGATCATACAGTTTTCTGAGCTGCACAAACGATCATAGAGACGGTTTCGAACTAACTGGCGGCGTAGAGTATTGGTAGGAGGTCAATAATAAACCACATAATTTTCAAGACCACTTTTTAAAGGCGTGACTTACTTCATTTGATATGAAGGGTAGCTTAAAAGGGATCTTACTTACGTCCGACACATTATTTTGGGAAACTACCCAACGTTTTCCTCTAACCCGAGTGGCTTCTACTTCGTAGTCATTGGAAATGGCAATTTTTCGTGCCAGGCTTTGCGATTCCTTTCTTTCCACTTCCCCTGTACACACATTTTTAGCCGTACGGTACATGTTTTTGATAAGTGCTTTTTTCATGTGTGAGGGATGAGAGGAGAGGCAGTGAACTAGAATGTTTTTACTTGGTTTGCGATACCATTTTGTTACATAGCCACTTACTGAGAGCTTTTTTGGATGTTTAAGAATGGAAGCCATTCCTGGGTAGGTTTTTCTCGTGTAAATTTTATATACCCCGACTGTCGGTTTAATAATTCGAAGCACTCATCCATCTGTTCTTGTGTGGAACAGACGATGAAGCAGTCGTCTATGTATCGACAGTAGAGTAAGAGTCGGTGATCCAGAACTGGAGCTTCCACCTTAGACATGAAAGCGATGGCAAGGCTTGGTGCTAAACGCTGCCCCTGTCGATGAGATCGACCAATTATTAAGGTAGATGTCGTAGATCATTCATTATGCTACGCTCCTTTTATATTCACGTCTTTAGCGTTGTGTTTCAGATTCCTCTTAAACCTTTGCGTAATGCAAAAACCTTAGGTTCAAATTCAATTAAAATAGCTAACAAAACTTCGTCTCGGCCCCCTAAATAATCCGGGCGGGTGTATAGAGAACTTCTCCCTTGGAAAGTTCTCTATCTAACTAAATAATAGCATTTGAAGTCCAAATATGGCCCTCTCGCACTCGCACATCAAACACCGCAATGTAACCTTTCTAATCTTCTCGATCAATTACGTTCAATGTTTCAGGCACTATAGCGATTCAGGTTTGACTTCAGTAGCATAGCGACGATGGCTTATCCGAAGGAGGCGTAACCATAGAACAGTTTACTACTTCCTTGCGAAACAACGAAGCTAATAACGTTTGATGTTTCAGGCAGTTAGGTACAGTCTATTGCGGTCCAGGATCAACAATCCAGATTAACCGCGGTTGCATACGCACGCGGCTCCCGCAGCCGATATAAGCCAGGNGTGTTTCAGATTCCTCTTAAACCTTTGCGTAATGCAAAAACCTTAGGTTCAAATTCAATTAAAATAGCTAACAAAACTTCGTCTCGGCCCCCTAAATAATCCGGGCGGGTGTATAGAGAACTTCTCCCTTGGAAAGTTCTCTATCTAACTAAATAATAGCATTTGAAGTCCAAATATGGCCCTCTCGCACTCGCACATCAAACACCGCAATGTAACCTTTCTAATCTTCTCGATCAATTACGTTCAATGTTTCAGGCACTATAGCGATTCAGGTTTGACTTCAGTAGCATAGCGACGATGGCTTATCCGAAGGAGGCGTAA